TGCCCGGAGTCATGGTCTTTCGGAGCAGGATGCAATTAATTGCCCTGCACACTGCCATCAACATGAGTCCAACGGTCGACTTTCCCAATCTGAACTGGTTAGTGACTGATCTGTAGCAGTCTGGAGAAGCCAGCTTCCACAGTGCAATCGCCACGTGCTTCTCCAATGGTAAGGCAGCTCTCATTCTTTTGTCCTTGTGCCACAGGGCTGGGGTGAGCTCATCACACAGTCCCTTGAATGTGGCTTTCCTCATCCAAAAGTTCTGCAGCCACTGCTCGTCATCCCAGACATGCATGATGATCTGATCCCACCACTCAGTGCTTGTATCCCAAGCCCAAAAGCGACGTTCCACTGTGGTCAGCACCTCCGTGAATGCCACAAGCAATCTCATGTCATAGCTACTATGCGTGGTGAGATCAATGTTGAACTGCTCTTGCCTTTGTAGTTTAAGGAATAACTCCACTGCCACTGATGATGTGTTAGTGAGAGCAAACAGCCTACTGGCCAACAGTGCATGATCCATTCCTGCAGACCAAAGAGGCAGAGCAGAGTGTGCAGTACACAAACCGTTGAAAGATGGCGCCAAATGCAGACGGAAGCACAGAGATTGCTGGCATATGAAGCAATGCATCACAGGGCATTGGGACAGGACCCAGGATGCTCTTTGACCCCCTCCATTTTCCCACAACTCTTAGCAGCAGAAGAGGAAGAGATGCTCTGTGGGATAGCTGCCCAGAGTGCACCGCTCCGAATTCCGCTGCAAGTGCCACAACTGTGAACACGCTATTGCACAGGCAGCTGACAGTGTGAACACACAACAGTGGTTTCCCTTCAGTGTTCTCTGAGTGCCACTGTAACTCTGCCAGTGTAGGCATACCCTTAGTTATAAACAGTATGGTGCCACCGATGTGTAGTTGCTAGGATAGGGAGTGAACGGAGATGTGGACACAGTCCATTACAATGCTCAAAGCAAATTTTGTAGTCAGTGGATATACTGAACTTGCTGTTTGTGCTATGTCTCTCCCACTACCTTGGCTCCCTACACCTAGGGACCAATCCACCCTTCTTTGAAGTCAATAGAAAAACTCCTATTGACTTAAGTGGAGCTGGATTTGACCCACAGTTGTTAGGAGAGCACCAGTTCAGAGCTCGCATCTAAGGCACATAGGAAGGTACAGAGTCACTTGGAGTTTTTTTTTTTTTTTTGTTTTTTTTACAAACTTTACTCCTAGCTATATGGTACTTGGTAGTTCAGGATGTTTTTATATATAATGAGCCTATTCAACACATTCTTACAACTTTTTGTATTTATTATAAATTATGAATTATGCTGGTATGTGTAACATATCTGCAAAGACATGTGTGTGTGTAACAGTTACCACATACACATGCAGTTCAGAATGGGAAATTACATACCAAAGCCTATGTTAACATAAAGTCAAGAATAAGGATTAACATGATGAAAGCCAGACCATGCAAATTGGAGGCTGAAATTCTGTCTCTTACCCAATCCATTGTGCATACGGTAGGTATCGCAGAAGTGGATGATTTCAGATGCCACATACAGTATGCTCAATTAGCTAGCCTCCACGTTAATGACAGTCAACCAGCCATAATTCTGAATTTCCTGGCTTTTGTTAATTTAAATCAGACAAACATTATTAGAGCTTATCTGTTTGCATTTAACTCCCTTCTTTTATGGTTACTTTTACAAGAAATGCACAAGAGGAGCCCACATGCTCATGAAAATGTTTGAGTGCTGACAATCCATACAGCTGTTTCAGAGTTGTTACGGTTTATCACTTAAACATAAGCAGTTTTTAGATGTGTATTATTTACTGGCTAGATTCCAAGTGATGCTACACAAAGCCGGTACAGTTTCAGTGCGTCACCAGTCCATTTTCCAAGTGCCAACTTCATGTAACTTAGACAATGTGATTGTTAAAGTTTGTATCAATAATAGTTACTGTGTATTTTCAATGTTAAGTACTAGATTAAAGCCATTAATTTTGTATGACCATTTGAAAAGACAAATGCATGGTAATTCTTTGAAATGAAAAAGGCATATGACAAAAAGGGCAAAACATAGGCCCTAATCCTGCACTCACTGACATCAAAGTATTCAGAGAGCTAGTTCATTGCTACTAGTCTAATGAGTACAGATTACTCACATGAGCAAGGTTTGCAGGACATGACACCATATTGTTGAGTACTAAGATGATTAAGTGCCAAACAAGAATTGGCATTGTGCCACGTTTTACACACCAAGGGCATGATTCTGCCAATGTTACTTATGCTTTCAGTGAGAGTACCCATGCAGTGAAGTGCTACATGATGTGAGTAAGAGTGGAAGAATTAGACTCCCTGAGTACCATTCAATTTACATTGACAACAGGAATTCTAAAGGGACACCTTATGAAATAACTGGACAAGCTGTTGTTAGTACTTTGAAAAATGCTTCTGGAAAAGCAATGCTGATGTGTCCTGCGGGGGATGTGTCACTGACAGAGGGACCTGTTATAACCATGATACAGTATATCCTTTTCAAAAAAAGAAACTCAGTGCAAAGTGAATACCACTTGAAAGCAAAGGGTTTGTTTCTGTTTTCACACTGGTGAGAATCAAGATTAACCCCACTGAAATCAATGATGCTGCACCAATGTAAAACTTATGTAAGAGGAGAATCAGATGCAGGCACTTTAAGTAATTACTGTAGGATGTAAATATAGGAGAAAGAATTAATGTAAACGTTAAAATGTATCAGTAAATGTTGCATGCGTACTCATGAGTAATTCAACAGGGGGTGGAAAACAGACATCCATGATTAGCACTGAAGAACAGCACCATTAGTAAGAGATCACTCACCAAAGGTGAAATTCACCCTTTCCTTTCCAAGCCTGACTAAATGAGGGGAAAGAATCCATCCCATGGACAGTGAGCAGTGCATGGAGCAGCCCTGATGCCTCTCCAAAGTCGTTACTCCAGCCCCTGAGATTCAAGAGATGGATGATTTCACTGCACAAGGTTGATGGTATAGGTGCCCACTTCACGGGTGTTCTGCAGCTGAAGCACCCACAGAAAAAAGAACAATGGGTGCTCAGCACCCACTAGCAGCCCCATGGATCAGCACCTCACCCTTACCCCCAGTGCCTCCAGCCCACCGATAGCCCTGTTGATAAGTTCCTCCCCCTCCCTTCCCGCGCGCCGCAGATCAGCTGTTCAGAGACATGCAGGAGGCATGGGGGGTGGGGGGAGCAAGGGCAGCAAGAGGTGGGGCGGAAAGAGGTGAGGCAAGGTGGGGGATTGGGGAAAGGGGTGGAGTGGGGGCAGGGCAAGAGGTGGTACAGGGTGGGGGCAGGGCCTAGGGCAGAGTGGGGGTTGAGCACCCCCCAGGGAACAGAGGAAGTCAGCGCCTATGGTTCATGGCCAACTGTAGTCTCCCCTCCCCTCCTAACCACACCTACCACAGCCCTCCTTCACTTTGGCCCAGGCAGAGCTAGCATGGAGCTTAGCTTCACCATGTGTGAGCGGTGCAGAGTCTGCTTGTTCCACATCTGCCCTAGCCCTGCACTGTGTAACTGCAGTGGGTCCATTGTTTTGGGGGCCTGCTGGGTAAATTTCACCCTAAAGAGCAAATGCTTTCCGTAGGAGATAACAATGAACTGAATGACACCTTTGGGGCAGCCAGATGATTGCGAGACACTTGACTAAGAAGCATTTGAGCCCTAGAGCACAAATCTTGCTCCACTTTCTGAATAAGCCTTCTGAGATAACAGAAACAAAGTTCCAATGGACCCATCTTGTTGTGAGACTGAAAATAAAGACAATTCCGTACAAAGTGCTGCCTGGCTAGGAATAAGGAGACCAAGAAAAACAAATACTATAGGTAGCCTGGAAACTAGAGAACCTCGAGGGAGTAGTTGAGATGGAATGTCATCCGACAAGGCTGCAAGAGAGCTCAAAAGCTGTAAACAGACACGAAAATCTTGGGAAACAATTTAACTGAATTCTGGGCAGCCATAAACAATGTGAAGTAATGGGAACCTCCCAAGGTTATCTAGTTAGGAATGGCAAACAGCAACAAAACATTACTATGGCAACAGACTGCAGAAGTCTGAGGTGAAAGCCCCCAAGCAAAGTCAGGTGTTACACAGAGGAGTGAAAAGGGAAGCAGCTTTATTCCAGTTGAATGCTTGCACACAGAGGGTTGGGAACACCCCTCCTAGATCCTGCCAGAGAAACCAGCACAGTTCCTGTCTTGTACAGCATGGCACAAGCTGTCAGCAACCCCACTCTGCTGAGAGAGCTCAGCTGCCAACAAGAGAGACCTGGGCTAGCTGGGGGTGACCAAGGTGCACTGAATTAGTTCATTTCCCAAGAAGTTAGTGTCAGAAGGGCTCCTAAAGAACCAAGGTGAAAATTTAGAAGAAGCCCCTCCCCAGGCAGAATTTCTGAGGAATAATGCCTGGACTGTCAATTGCCCCCCACTTATTTGCAGGTATAGTGGGGTGCAAGTTACATCCTCCAGCACCCATGGAAGTGAGTCTCACCCACACAATTTGAGTACTTCTCCAAGCAGTAGGAGTGAAAATTTAATTAGTGCGCTATGAGTTGCTTCTTTCCCCCACAAATACATCCTATACATATGGCCTAATCAATCACTCACCCACTTTCTTCCTGTCGTCTGGCAGCAAGGTTCCCTTTACTGCCTCCAGTGGTGGGATAGTATATGACCTTTATGACTGAGGAGTTAATATTTAAGCACATGGTGCCCGATCATTCCCCTTGGTCTGAGCAAGGAGGGGACCCTTTGAACATGAACATTCCATAGGTCATAAGGGACAGCTTCCTCCTGGAGAACGATTCTGAACTCCCTGTGATTCCATGCAATCCAGGACCCTTTGTGAGGCAGGGCCAGAGGGGAAGGAACTCCCTTACACTCCCCAGCAATGCTAGAAATCTGCAGGAAAGTTAAAAAGCTTTTTTATTACTTTTCCTGTGAAGCCTGCTACATGCTGTGGAATTCATATTAAAGGTTGAGGAGTCTCTGGCAGTGTGGCTCCGGTGGAGCTGAACGGGGTCAGCAAGTCAAAGAAGCTGTGACTGGAGAGATGGGAGCAGATGTGACAGCTGGTACAGAGACATAGATGCCCACACAGATGGTCCTTTTCCTTTGGTGGAGCCCTGAAACTGATAATGATAATATATGAGCCCTGATAATGCCACAGAATTTGAGTTCAAATCCCTCGCTTCTCCTGCACAGGGGCAAAACCTGCTTCCCCAGTCAAAGAACGTTGTGCTTGCTTCCCCCTGATATTTTAGCAAACAAGCTTACTGGCAAACTAAAAGTGAGCACTGCAGAGTATTCATGGAAAGGAAATTTCAAATTTGTAATTGCAAGTTTTCTCACCAGAAACCTGATTCTCAGAATCGTACTCATACAATCAGGGGAACAGCTCATACCATGTGACCTGTGCATCCAATCAAAACCAATGAAATTTCATTATCAAATAGCTGCAACAAACCATACATTGGCCAACTCCAGACCAAGAATTAGTGAATAACTGTGGAAAACAAACTAATTCCAGAAAGTCATGATCTGTTTGCATATAATGTGCCTGCCCTGAATGACAATTAATTAAGGAGAGACAACTGTGATAACAAATAGGTAGGTTGTACAGTGGAATTAGATCTTGTCTTTTAATTGTAAGATATTGTATTCACACCAGCTCATACAACCAGCATCTGGGGCCAAACTCTGCACTGAAAAAGATGCAGAAAAAAAGTATCTCGATCTATGATTACTCATTGGGTTGAGAAATAATTTTATATCCTCCCACCTTAGCACTGTAACAAAAGCAGCCAGAGATAAGACGGTAGGTCTGAGCTTTCAATACATCTGCTCTTGATCACTAAAAATATATGAATGATGAAGTAAAAAATTAAGACCAGGACTCCAGAGTAGTATTTCACATGGCAATCCTCTCTAGAGCAGAACTGAAAGGAAATGTAGTAACAATCACAAAGGTATTTGATTAGAATTAGGTATGGGACTACTGGCTTAACTAAAATAAAACTAACTTGAACAATTGCCCAGATTTCAACAAAACCCAAATATCCAAAATCATTCTGAGTTGAGTCAAAAAAAAAAAAAAACAACCCACCGCGGTATTAATTGGCTGAATAACACAAGATGGGTTGCCATAGTTTCTGATACTTCCTGAGGGACAAACTGCTAACAAGAAAGCTTGGGCCAAGATTTTTAAAAGTCACCAATGAACAGAGGTGCCTCAACTTGAGACACCTGAAACAGGCCTGATTAACTGAAAAAGCTAAGCACCTACCCTGTGAAAATCTATCCCTTTAAAGATTTCTCAAGTTGGATGACCGAAAACAATGGAGGCACCCAGATTCATTACTCCCTTTAGAAAATCTCAGCCCATTGATCTTTGCAGCTATCTAGTCCGTCTCTGCAGCCCTAAGCAGTTTGAATAGTTCAGATAAACATCCAGAATTTGGGGGGCTTATCTGAATTGAAACTCAGAAGCTTGAGATTCTTTTATTGGCAATTAAATCCAGTATTGTGTCTTGTGAAATCAGACATACATTTGAAATTTTAGCTTCAAATTCTCCATTACCAAACCAGGTGGAGGAGTCCACAAATATTTCTGGGTTGTCCTATCACCATACCACAATTTCACAAGTGCCAAAAGATAATCTGGATGCAAATGATCTTGTTCCTGGATCTTTTTGCAGCAAATCTTTTGTGGAGCAAATCTTGTTAATATTTTCTCTTGAGGATTTGCTACTTCAGATGCATCTTGTAATGGGTCCAGCTTTATCCAAATATTCTGTATCACTTCTAGTACTCAAATAATTTGCTCTTATGGTGTCTGCACTTTGTGAAGTTGAAATGTCCCATGCAAATTTAGAGAAGAGCTCTGACAGAAACAAATCAGAGAAACAGAACAACTGTAAAGGATGATAAGTAGAGCCCTGCACATCCATGAATATCCACTTTATAGCTGTGGATATCTGCATCTGCAAATGCGGAGGCAATTGTGTTGTTTACCATCTTTGCGGCTCGTGAATCAAATGTGGATCCAAATTCTTGTATCCGCACAGGGCTTTAACAGCGAGATAGGGTGTTGGTGCAGATGCAGATACATATAAAAGGTGGAGTGAGGGTCTCAGGTCGGATACAAGTTAATTATTGTGGATGCAGATCAGCTGCGGATCCAAATTTTTGTATCTGCGCAGGGCTCTAACGATAAAGTATCTAAATCCCATTTTACAGAAAACAAAGAAAGAGGAGGGTAAATTGGTTGTCAATATGAACTTCTTCAAATTTGAGGCCCAGTCATGGCCTAATTGAGGCCCACAGGGAGGAGCTTTCAGCAGCTCTATAATGCTTTTGGGCTCCACAGCTGTAGATGTGCCTCTGGATCCTGAAAAGGTAGGAGACCGTATCACTTTGCTACACAGTAACAATAGGAGTAAAGGGCTACTACATCTTTTACCAATAGGTAACAATGGATTAGACCCTTTGTTATTTTTCACTGTTTGTGCATAAAAAATGCATAGACTGGGAGGAAAAAACCAAATAAAATCTAAGGAAAGTGAATAAAAATGTCTATGATTAAAATAAGCCTAAGATTGGAAATGATCAAGAGACTACTTCTTAACAGCCAAGATCTCCAAAATCATCACACTGTTTAAATGCAGGAACATTTAAAATTGTGTTCCAGAGTAACAGCCGTGTTAGTCTGTATTCGCAAAAAGAAAAGGAGTACTTGTGGCACCTTAGAGACTAACCAATTTATTTGAGCATAAGCTTTCGTGAGCTACATCCGATGAAGTGCATTCATGCATCTGATGAAGTGAGCTGTAGCTCACGAAAGCTTATGCTCAAATAAATTGGTTAGTCTCTAAGGTGCCACAAGTCCTCCTTTTCTTTTTAAAATTGTGTGTGTTTCTTTGCTGGGAATACATGCCCTTTAAACTTCCATTTCTTATCTTAACGATCATTGGTCATCTAGACACTGAGACAGGACACTAACAACATGTTGAACCACAATTTTACAGCAACATTTTTCTTTTTCATTCCTTTGACATGAAGAGACTTGTGACAAACATCTATGGAGACAGAGAGCACGCATTATATCAATAATATTCTGAAGATGATGATGATGATCTTTCTTTGACAAATACATGAATCATGAGATCTGGGTATTTCCATGACAACTTTGACAGTCTGATTATCTACTAAAAAAATCATCATCATCAGGAATATCAGTAGCAGATCAGCTTTCTCGTTTGTAGAAAAAATGTATAATAATTAATGTGAAGGCTGTCAAGTTTGCTAGGAATTATCAGAATATTTTAAAGTGGGTTTTACATATTTAGTCAATATAAACCAGCTATTGTTTTTTAAGTGGGTCAACATAGTGAATGTAAACCAGCTATGATATTTACATATTGTACCATCTTTACAAATCTTTCAAGCTACCTACTATTCCATGTCAATTGAAGTAAAAATTGGAGCTGTGTAACTCACCCACTCAGGCAGGGATCTAGACCTGCTTTTGACCACTTGAATCTAGCCACAAACCTGAACTTTTGAGAGTTCAGCAGATAAGGTATCGTGATGTCGTCATGACTTCAAACTGCAAGACACAATTCATTGTACTGTGCTTCCACACTGAAAAACCCAGTGCTGGATGACCCTGAACATGCAACCTGCAAGAAAAAAAAAAATCCAGCATCAATGTACTTTGTGGTTAGATAAGCCCAAACCACAACTGCTGAGCTTCACCCATCCTGGGTAAAGATATTTTCTATTAAAGAAGTTGAGAAAGGTAGCAAAGGTTACAAGCAGGTGTTTTGAAAGTAATTTTAAGTGGGATGGAAATAATCGGTCACATCCTGAAATTATGTTAATAATGTGTTGTAAAGACCCACTGTGATAGCTTATGCAAAACCCTTTTCTTCAGTTTTACCTGGAGCTAATGTATGACAAATGGGCCAATTACACATAACTCACAATGATATCAGGAGTGAGGAGACAGAGAGAAATCAGGTTGTATAGGACTGTTCACTTTAATAGTCTGCGTACTAAATGTATTATGCCCTACACAGTATGTAATTTAAGCTTGCCATGTACAGTTGCAGCCTTAGGCCATCTGGCCGTGAATGCTTTCTTTAGGCATTTTTGACCTTAGCAAAAGCTTTAAGGTCTTTCACTGTAAATATCTTCAAGCATTTGTCATTTATGCACAGTTGTTTTTTTTTTTTTTTTTTGCTTTGGCCACAAAAAGGATTCTTGCATATTTATCTGTTTTACTAAACTACGTTTCCTGGCACCATTGTTATGATGAGCACATGCAAATTGTTACCTCAACTTTGTTAAGATAAAAATGACATTCTCAGGGTATGTTTCGGAATTGGTTGGGGTTTTTTTTAAATCATTTTTTCCTCACAGTTGTTTGCATTATAAACCATTGCAAGCGTGAACTGAAATCTGTTTCCTGACAGAATTCCAACTCCTCTCCTCACCATCTCACTTGCTTATGAATACTGGTTTATTATTGGGGGGCTACTTGAGGGTGCTGTATGCCTCAGATTAGATTATTTTCTAGAAAGGGAAATTTAAAAAAAAGAGTACTTGCAAAAGTCAGAGAGAGACAGGTCCTTAGCTGGTAAACATTGGCTCAATTGCATCAACTTCAGCAGAACTATTACAATTTACACCAGCTGAGAATATGGTCTATGAAGAACTGCATAGATTATATAGCCCTCCCCATCTGGAGTATCACTGTCTCACCAGACCAACTCTCTGGATGCAGTCCTTACCAGTCCTGCACCACTTCCTAATGGCTAGTAGGGAAATCCGGGCCCACCCACCCACTGCTCTGGGTTCCAGCCCAGAGATCTATAATCAGCAGCCAAGGTCTACACCAGTGGTTCTCAAACTTTTTTACTGGTAACCCCTTTCATATAGCAAGCCTCTGAGTGCGACCCCCCCTTATAAATTAAAAACACATTTTTATATATTTAACACCATTATAAATGCTGGAGGCAAAGCGGGTTTTGGGGTGGAGGCTGACAGCTCACGACCTCCCCATGTAATAGCCTTGTGAGCCCTTGAGGGGTCCCGACCCCCAGTTTGAGAACCCCTGGTCTACACAGTCTCAACCCTCACTGCTCTTTCCTTGGGCTTCTTCTTCCTCTACTTTTCCACAGGCTTTCTTCCCCATAACTCCTCTGGGTAATCTCTTCCATCAGGAACAAGATCACAGGCCTTTTGCTCCCCACTAAGTTTCCTCCTACCCAACTCTGTACCCAAGGAGTGACTACAGGCTCCCTCCATGCAGCCTCTTCCTCCTACCAACTTCTTCTCTTTATAATTCTCTCCCAGCTCCTTCCCTTCTGGGCTTCATCTGCAACTAGGGTTTGTCAATCTAGCCTGAGTCTCCCCCTGGTGCAACCTATCAGGTTAATCCGCCCTTTTGAGCCACTTTACCCCTTTCAGAGTTGGAGTGGGTTAAACAGCCCATCACTCAGATATTAATTATTTGCCATAAATTAAGACAAAATACACCAGATGAAATCTTCACTCTTTCAAAGTATTAATGAAAACAGATGAGTTTGATATTAGCTAAATTTTATTTCTTTTTATCTTTTTATTAGTTATTTCTATCATTGTAGCTTCTAGAAACCCCAGCATCAGTTGCTAGGCATTATACATACACATAGCAAAGAGATGGTTGATGCACCAAAGAGCATGCAATTTAAGTATAAGACAACAGGTGACTAAAACAAACCGATGAAGGGAGCAAAGGGCTCTTCAAGAATTCCTCCATTTCTGAACAATAGTTTGGGACCTTTACTGAAGAGCATGACATAAAGACTGGATTTGCATGATATAAAAAAAAGATCAGAGTAAGTAAGAGTCCAGAGTGAGTACTTCCTTTCCAAGTTTTCCATTCCTAAGGTGAGAGACAGAATGGGAGAAATTCTCAGTTTTGTGATTTGCTTCATTTTTATTTTTATTTAAGTTTTTTTGCAAAATGAAAGAGCCACAGGGTAAAATTTTCATAAGTGCCTAAGTCCCAGATCCTCAAAGGATTTTCGGTGCCTAACTCCCGTTGGAATCTAGGCCCAAGTGACATAGGAGCCCATAAGTCCCATTGACTTTTAGTGGTATTTAGTATCCTAAAACTCATATGTACTTTTGAAAATTTTACCCATGGTGCCTGGGCACAGGGGCAGAGGGTTATATGCTACATAATCTCATGATATTCAAGGGGTAGTGTTGAAATAAGCAGAAGATATATCACATTATCTGGGGTGCAATGCAGAAATGACCCTTGTCTACATACCTCCATGTTCCCAAGAAAGGCAACATATTTGCATTGGCCCCAGTGGGTCTCCAAAAATAAGCCATACAGGCTGAGAAGGAGCCAACCACACTAGTTACACAGATTCTATCATCATTATATTTGTGAAAATCAGAGCCCCATCTAGCAAAAATGTTCCTGCAGATAGATTAACTTCTGTTCAACAGCCTCTGCAGATAGGGAGATAATGAGCATTTTTTGAGGGAGATAAAGTCCACGCACTTATAGCTCTATTAAGATTAAAGTTAAAAGCAAATATTAGCTGTTAAAAGCATCGAGCAGATTTGGATACTCTTTTGGGGAGAGAGACCCTCCAAGATGCAATACAGTTTTTTGGCTACTTGTTAAAGACATAAACCAGCACATGTACAGCCTGTCTCATAATAAACTGCAGGAATACGTCCCCATGTTTCTCGCTGTAGCACTCAGAAATGTCCAAACACTTGTGTCTCTGCCTGAAGACTCTCAGAAACACTGATGAAAATGACTCTCCATCATTCAGGAAATATTCACTAAAGAGCTGAAGAGGGATACTGCTTCATGACATTCCATTAAAGCACCATGTACTGGATTATTCCTTCCAACTCTGTTGTTTAACCACATGCATAACTGTTCTGGAGTGTCTGTTTCTGTCAAGTAGAATGATAATCTGTGTTTATTCAGATGAGGGAAAAGGGAACTAAGCAGTGAGGTCTTATTTGCTACAGAAAAAGTTATCCACTGTGTCAGCAGGGAGTACACACATGTCAGCAGGTCAAGGTGAGGTTATAACACACACATATTTATGAAGGTACAGCACACAGTATGACAGACATCCTGCCTAGCTCCTGGCTCCTGGTACTGCAATTGGAGAGGAGTCTCAGAAGTTTCATGCTACAGAGTGGATTTAGGATCTCATAAGGCATTTTTGTGTTTTCCCAGGCTTTCTGCAGAATGTTTGCTTTCATTGTAAGCTGTCCTCCCTGGTAGAATTCCCTGAAGGAACTATGGAGGGAGAGGGATCTTCTTGTGAAATAGTCTCCAATCTATCAGCTAAAGCTAATGCCACAACAAATCTTTCTTTAGGTAACCATGACTGAATCTTGCAGATCTTCAGGGACTGGCATAATCTACCAAGCAGAAGCAGCCTGATACATCAGACAAAGCTGTTTCCCAGCATGATTTAACCACCAGTGTATTTAGTCAGGATGCACTGATCCATCTTTCAAGAATAAATGTACCAGGTGCAAAGCTTAATCTACCTGCTTTCCTTCTACTCTGACTTCCCTCCCTTCCCCTCTGCCCTTTCACTCTCCTTCTGTCTTTCATCCTCACTCTTTTCTCACTGTTCATCTGCTCCTCTTCTTCTTCCTATTCTCTCCTACATTCCCATCTCTCATCCTATTCCTCCAACCCCACATGTAGCCTGATTCAGCAGAGTACTTAAGTATGTCATATCAAGCATGCCAATAGTGCCAATGACTTACTTCCTTGGGGCTATTGCCATGTTTAATATGCTGAAGTGGGGTTGTGCCCCACAGCGTCTCCCTCTTATTTCCCATTCAAATTCTGTAGCTTTGATTCTGCTTGGACTTTCCACAAGCATAAGTCAGAAGTAGCTTCACTGAAGTCAATGAGATTATAGCGGTTAAAACTGGTGTAAGGGAGAGCAGACTCATAATTTTAACTGTAAAACTGACTTATTTTCACTGGCATGTGTAACCATATATTATTTGTTTTGAAAGACATAGGGTGAAATTCCACCCTAATTTGCACCCATAAAATATTATGGGGTTGTAAGGATGTAGCTTAAGGCAAAATACGGTATGAAAGAGTAAGATTTATAAAGTATGTTTAACATATTTATCCTAATATTTTAGAAATGGGTTTTGCTATTTTTGAGGTTCTCATAGTTTTTCTACACTAAAAAGAGATTTTTCTAGGCCAAATTCTCATTGCAGTAGAGAACAATAGCAGCAGTTGTGAAACATCTACATAACTCCTCCACATGATGACCATTTGTCTCATAAAACTGAAAGTGTCAGGAATTAACAGAAAGACTTAGAATGTGATGAGACTTAGAATATCTGTTTTTTTCCTGGTAACTACTTCATAGCAGCCATCCGCTCTTCCATTAAACCAGATATCAAAGGTCTGAAATTCCACAATGACTTTTGATGTCAGCACAAGTTCAGTAGTTAAAGCTGAAGACTTGTCACATGATGAGTTTTTGCCGATTAGAAGGCATAAAAAGAAAACACACACATACAGTTGTATGTTCATTATTATAACAAAAACAACTCCACAACTGAATAGCCATTCTTCTGGCTGTATGGCTTACTTTATGAAAAAATGGAGACTGAAAATAGCTCTAGTTCTCAAGTTAAACAGCTTCGGGGGGGGAACCTAATAAATGTCAGTGGTCCCTTTGCTTGCATGTAAAATTTTTATATCTTGCATGTCTCCATTTTCAACTAAGAAGGACTAGGGCATTCTTTAGTTTAACCTCACTCACCTTTTCCATCTTCCTGTAATGGACACTTCTTCCACTTCAAATACGGAAGCCCTGTTTTTCTACTTTTTCTACCACCGTCACATGGAGAGGTAGTCTTGCCCCAACTTACAGCGGCTCAGAAGGAGTTTTCCTACTGTTTAGAACATAAAAAATTGTCAGAAAGATTAAGAAGATTTGTCCTGAAGTTAAAATTGTCCAGGCATCTTTTACCTTCACCTTGATGTTAACACTTGGCACTCTTACATTTATTCACTAACAAATGAAAGGCCAGTTTCTCAGCAGGTGTAATTTGGTGTAACGCCACTGAAGTCATTTGCTAAATGTTAAGCATGTACATTTGTGCATACTAGGCTCAGGGCGGGGGGGGAGAAGAGAGTGGTAGCACACAAGTAAGTTTTAAGCACTAATGGTTACTCTATTTGGGGGAGATTTTCAAAAGGCACAAAGGTGACTTAGGCATCCAAATCTCACGAACAATATCAATGCGCCTTTGAAAATCTCCCCCCCTAACTGTCAGTGACTGAATAGTATAAGAAAGTGTTCACAGCATTCGTTCAAATCTCAAACTCCTGTTCAAGGCAACTTTGTAGTGCCCCCATCATAATCAATATCCACCAACATCTGTTAGAATATGTTTTTGTCCACAAAGTTTAGAGAACAGCTGCTTTTCATTTCAATAAGAATGCTGAAAAGAGAATTCATGAATGAACAAGAGTGTTTCTATTGGTTATTCATTAGTTGCTGTTCAGTCTTCCTTAGTCTCCTGTTAAAAAATGTTCAGTCATCAAATCAAGGAGCTTAAATAATACCATGTGACTTAGATGACCTATCATATACCACAAACAGTGAACAAAGTGCACAATTTGTGAGTGACCAATAGTTTGAACCTTATTCACTCAAACTAAGACATTTCCAGAAACAGGATCAACCCACAAAACAGAAAAATAAAAATAAAAAAAATAAAAAAGCTAAAAGTCACTCATACTAATTACTCATTGCTAATCATTTGTCCAGCTTTGGCAATGAGTGAGCCATGGCCAGAGGACTGAAAAGGATTCTAATAATGAAAACTCCAGTTGACCCAATCAAACCTTGAGAAACAGAGTCTATAACAGCTCTGGGTACAGTTGTTCCCAGACAACAAAGCAAAAATATGTTGTGCAATGTTAATGAAACACACAATAATTCATCTGGAGTTTGATAGAGAGTGATGAACAAGGCTCAAAAAATGTAATTTTATATTTTTGCAAGCATTTGAACTGGCTGGATTTGACTGAGACCAGAGGAGCCAAAAAGGAGTAGGCTAACAGGTGTTCAGCTTCCCTCATTCTGAGATGAGTTTAAATGACACAGTCAAACTCCTAGACAGTTGCTCTCTTTTTAGTGTCTTTTTAACTGTTAGTTCAAAATGCATTAATTCATTTGTTTTCCAGTAGAGAGCTGTGAATTCTTGGCCTAATTTTCAGAGGTACTCAGCACCTTCAGATCCCATTGACTTCAACAGAGGTTTGGAGGTACTCAGCAATTCACATGATCAGGCCCTAGCAATGCAAAAGTCCAGCCATGTTATGGGTACTGTGTATCTGTTAAATATCTAACATTCCAGTTGGCTACAAGATTCCTGTTTTGTCTGGGAACGGAGATCTACTGCATGGCGGGCATTACAAGAAGGCAATAATCAATAACTTGTTTAAGTCTTGTCTCAAATAAGATCTGAAAACTCTTCAGGGAAGAAGAAAAATTTTAAAAATAGCATTTTTCTGCTGTTCTTTGGAAATCCTCTGACCTAGGCTTTTCCATGGATTCACATGTATCACAGAGTATTAGTTGAGGGGTTTAGCTGGAATGTGTCAGGCTGCAGATAGAAGCAGCAGCAAGCTGTGAGGCAGTTAGGCCCACACTGCTCACCTACCATACACAAGGAAAAACAGAGCAGCAGCTGCTTTGATGAGTCAGGGTGGGCTCATTTAGTGAGAACTCCTGGCAAAAGCAACAAGCCTCCACAACAACTACCATTAAGACTCTGTGACAACTGATTTATTCTCACTTTATTTCCTTTTATTGAGTCTCCTTTACCCCCTTTAGGCAGTCCTTATACTATGTTGTATAGTGGTTACAAAATCATCCTGACAGTGAATATCTGATCTGACACATCACTATTTTTTTATATTTACACTGAAAGCCTCTAACAATAGCTAAATTGCTGCTTATCCCATGCATAATTTGTATTGCAGCAGCAACCCATTAATAGGCATTCATTATCCTAACCAAGAGATGTACAGTATATCAGATTGAAAAAGAACAACCTGAAAGAAAGCAAGAGCAAGAAAAAAAAGATTGTAGCAAAACGCAAAAAACAAGCAACTGGCCAGATATCGTGATCGCTGTTAAACCAGTGTGAACATGGAATAATTCACCATTGACTTGGTCCTACATAGGAGGTGACTTGTGCTACCCAATTCCAATGTTTACTGTAGTATAGCATAACAGAAGAGGCACTTGATTCAAATTAGCATTAAAATAAGATTCAGGGTTTGGGTTCAAGATCCAATCTTCTTATTGGTATCAATGAATCCAAAACTGATAAGCAGTTTTGAAAATCTGGTCATTCCCTAAATGGGAGTTCAGCTCTTCTAAAAATTGGCAATTCTAGATCCTGAGCACTTTGGAAAATCTAGCCCCTGTATGTACATTTCCTGTGCTGAATACGGGTAATTTTGTTAATAGCTTTAGTGATATTCTAGAAAGTCACAGAGGCAATACTTATCAAGAATCAAAGGTGATCCAGAGAACTCATACACTAGCTTGTCATCTACAGAGGCTTAGGTTCAAATCATGCCTTAGATCAGGGGTAGGCAACCTATGGCACGCGTGCCAAAGGCGACATGCAAGCTGATTTTCAGTGGCACTCACACTGCCTGGGTCCTGGCCACTGGTCCTGGGGGCTCCGCTGCTGGCCTGGGGTACCAGGCACTGGCCCCTGCCAGCCGGGGTTCCATCCACCTGCCCCGCTCAGCCAACTGCCATCCCCGGGCCCCAGCCACCGGGGAGCAGACGGGGCAAGACAGGGCACAGCTCAGCACCCCCACCTTAAAAATTGTTCTAGCCACTGTACTGGGATATTTTTAAGTCCTGATTTGCTGCTTACATCATTATCACACCACATGGAACAGCGCACTGCATTTGATGTTGAGATTAGAATGTACAAGCAAGAACTGGAATCAGAATTTTCTGACAGATTTCAAAATTTCCAGCGATTTGGCCCAATGCTTTCTTTTCTAATTAAATCTGAAAAGTTCAATGAAAGCTACTTGGATTTGTCTGTATTTCAGTGGATGCGTGTTGAAGATTTCAAAATGCAGCTCATTCAGTTATAAAGCTCAGAATTGCGGGCATCAAAGTTTAGAGATCTGTGGACTGCACTTGAAGTTACCGAGAGAGACCATGGAGCCTCTATTCTGACCTGCTGGATGTCCCTACCAGTGAAATTTAACTGTTTGAAGAAAATTGCATTTGCAATGCTTTCAGCATTTGGATCCACATACCTGTGTGAACAGGTATTTTCACACATGAAGTCTGTCCTCTGTCCCTCTCAGAGCCAGTTAACAACTGATCACTCAGCCCTGGTCTACACTGCAGGGGGAGGAGGGGGGTCAACCTAAGATACGCAACTTCAGCACGCGAATAGCGTAGCTGATGTCAGCGTATCTTAGGTCTACTTACCTGGCCGTGAGGAAGGCAGTGAGTCAACCGCTACCGCTCCCCCATCGACTCTGCTTCCACCTTTCACGAGCTGGAGTTCCAGAGTCAACGGGGAGCGCGTTCGGGGATCGATTTCATAGAATCATAGAATATCAGGGTTGGAAGGGACCTCAGGAGGTCATCTAGTCCAACTCCCTGCTCAAAAGCAGGACCCATACCCAATTAAATCATCCCAGCCAGGGCTTTGTCAAGCCCGAACTTAAAAACTTCTAAGGAAGGAGATTCCACCACCTCCCTAGGCAACGCATTCCAGTGTTTCACCACCCTCATAGTGAAAAAGTTTTTCCTAATATCCAACCTAAACCTCCCCCACTGCAACTTGAGACCATTACTCCTTGTCCTGTCCTCTTCCACCACTGAGAATAGTCTAGAACCATCCTCTCTGGAACTACCTCTCAGGTAGTTGAAAGCAGCTATCAAATCCCCCCTCATTCTTCTCTTCTGCAGACTAACCAATCCCAGTTCCCTCAGCCTCTCCTCATAAGTCATGTGTTCCAGACCCCTAATCATTTTTGTTGCCCTTCACTGGACTCTCTCCAATTTATCCACATCCTTCTTGTAGTGTGGGGCCCAAAACTGGACACAGTACTCCAGATGAGGCCTCACCAATGTCGAATAGAGGGGGACGATCACGTCCCTCGATCTGCTCGCTATGCCCCTACTTATACATCCCAAAATGCCATTGGCCTTCTTGGCAACAAGGGCACACTGCTGGCTCATATCCAGCTTCTCATCCACTGTCACCCCTAGGTCCTTTTCCGCAGAACTGCTGCCTAGCCATTCGGTCCCTAGTCTGTAGCTGTGCATTGGGTTCTTCCGTCCTAAGTGCAGGACCCTGCACTTATCCTTATTGAACCTCATCAGATTTCTTTTGGCCCAATCCTCCAATTTGTCTAGGTCCCTCTGTATCCTATCCCTACCCTCCAGAGTATCTACCACTCCTCCCAGTTTAGTATCATCTGCAAATTTGCTGAGAGTGCAATCCACACCATCCTCCAGATCATTTATGAAGATATTGAACAAAACCGGCCCCAGGACCGACCCCTGGGGCACTCCACTTGACACCGGCTGCCAACTAGACATGGAGCCATTGATCACTACCCGTTGAGCCCGACAATCTAGCCAACTTTCTACCCACCTTATAGTGCATTCATCCAGCCCATACTTCCTTAACTTGCTGACAAGAATACTGTGGGAGACCGTGTCAAAAGCTTTGCTAAAGTCAAGAAACAATACATCCACTGCTTTCCCTTCATCCACAGAACCAGTAATCTCATCATAAAAGGTGATTAGATTAGTCAGGCATGACCTTCCCTTGGTGAATCCATGCTGACTGTTCCTGATCACTTTCCTCTCATGTAAGTGCTTCAG